AGCGAAATGGTTATTTGTGCGCGCACACACACACACACCGCGGTGTTTACATATATCGTGAAAACTGTGTCGGCGACCCCATGCATCAGGGACAAAGACCCACGGTCTTTACGACTGACAAATATTAACAGATGTCTACCAGTGTCAGTGGCCCTCAAAGTGCCGTCAGTGACTTTATGGCCACTGGAGACAAACACTTCCGTCCGCCCACAACAGATATCAACAGATGGCCACCAATCACTTACTCCCGACGCACTCTGTACCATCTAAAGCGTGGGAACGGTTATCCTGATGGCAGTGTTATCGCGCGACTCAAGTCACTGAACATATTCCACGCGCGTAGCCGTAGACAAGGCCGTCATACACATAAGCCCATTAGGACCGTAACCTCCACTAGGAAACCGGAGAAACCCACCCCTGACAGACCGTACCACTACACTGAAGTTCCACGGATATGGTATGATCTCCCGTCTCTACTGCTATCCAACGTCACTTCCCTAGCTAACAAGTTTGACGAGCTGGCAACTACAGTCAGGTCAGCCGCCGCGAGCGTCGTTGCCATATGTGAGGCTTGGCAAATTGTGCCTGAAACGTGTCATATTGAGGGATATCAACTCTTTCATCACCTTCGTTCACATAGATGCGGAGGGGGCGTTGCCCTCTTCTGTCAAGATGACCTACGCCCGTCACGCCTGGATGTTCAAGTCCCAGCAGATGTGGAAGCATTATGGGTACGTGTTGTGCCACAGGCCCACCCGCGCCACACTGCTTCCATCATAATCTGTGTGGCATACCATCCGCCTCGCTCACCCACCAGAGACACTCTTATCAATCATCTCATTACCACCTCAGACCACCTCAGAGTTAGGTACCCATGTGCCAAGTTAGTATTATGTGGGGATTATAATGAAATTGACACCACTGATATCCAGGACCAGCTATCACTATCACAAGTTGTGAACTTCCCCACACACGGTCAAAATACCCTTGACCTTATCTTAACTGACTTAGCGGACCAGTACCAACCACCTCAACCAATGCCTCCTATCGGGTGTAGCACACACTTATCAGTGCTCTGGTCCCCAGCTGCCACTCCCACTCAAGTACAGAGACCCTACATCAAGACCTACAGGCCGATTACTGACTCTGCAGTGCGCCTCTTCGGGCAGTGGATAGTTCACCATCCCTGGACTGAAGTACTTAGCGTGGATGACGTGGAAACCAAATGGATAAATTATACCAACACCACCACGGAAGCTCACCACCACTTCTTCCCCGAGAAGTCTGTCAGATCTCACCCAGCTGACTTGCCCTGGATCACACCTCGGATCAAAAGACTTATGCAACAGAGAGACAGAGCCTTTCATCTCAATGACCACATCCGCTACAGGTCCCTTCGCAACCGAGTCATCCGCGAAATACGCACTGCAAAGAAGTACCACTACCCAACCAAATTACAACACCTGAAGCAGGCCAACATCAGTCAGTGGTATGGTAAGCTTAAAGAACTCTGTGGATTAAACAATAAGACACACCCCCTCCCCTTCCTTAGCCATCTCACTAATGTTGACGCAGCTGAGCAATCAAATAACCATTTCGCTACTATATGCCAGACGCTCCCCTGGCTTGACACAACCACTCTCCCTGCTTACCTACCAGCCCCCCTTCCCACTGACTTAGTAGAAGAATTTGAAGTAGCAAAACGCCTGGACAAACTAAAATTAAAATGCTCTACCACCCCCATTGACTTACCAATGAAACTCTTCAAGGAGTTCTCCCCGGAGCTTGCTAAACCCCTATGCTCCATCATCAATGCTTCTCTCAGTCAAGCCAGATGCCCAGCTGACTGGAAGACCTCTTATGTATCACCAGTGCCCAAGTCAACCAGCCCACAATCCTTAAATCAGCTACGACCTATTGCAATCATCCCAATACCCAGCCTAATCTGTGAAAGTTTTGTGTTCGACTGGGCTTATGCTGATATTGCAGGAGTCGTAGACCCTCAGCAATTTGGCAATATGAAAACTTCCTCCACCACTCACTGTCTTGTCAGCTTTCTCGATTACATATACCGCCATCTCGAGAAACGAAAAACGTCTGTAGCTGTCGCCTTCATTGATTTCACTAAAGCATTCGACCTAGTCGACCACAATATAATCATCAACAAAGCTATTGACCTCGGGCTTCGGAGAAGTCTTATACCATGGCTTACAGACTTCCTCAGTGACCGACGCCAAGCTGTACGCTTCCGAGGGGCTGTCTCCACCTTTCAGTCACTCACCTGTGGCGTCCCCCAAGGCACCAAGATGGGACCACTCTGCTTCCTTATGCTCATCAATGATGCCCTAAGAGAAACCCCTGCTCGCTGGAAATATGTCGACGACTCCACCATTGGGATCAGCGTCAACAATTCTGCTCCCGACTATACCGCCCTTCAGGATTTATTAAACAGTCTCCAAAACTGGGCCACCAACAACCATGTCACCATCAACCATACCAAGACCATGGTTATGCACATCAACCTCTCCTCCGACATTGTCCCACCTCCTTCCATTACTTTAGGTCCGAACACACTCCAGGTTGTAGATTCCACGAAGCTCCTCGGCGTCACCATAGACAACAAACTAAATTGGAAACCACACGTCAGTGAAGTTGTCAAATCCTCCAGTTTCCGTCTCCACCTCCTCCGCCGACTCAAGTCCCTCGGAGTTCCTGCACCCGAGCTCCTCAGTGTTTACTCAACATTCATACTTCCCAAGCTCACCTATGCCTCCCCTACCTGGTCTTCCTCCCTAAATGCCACACAACGTAAACACCTAGAAAAAGTGCAAAAGAGGGCATGCAAGATTATTCTCTCCCCTTCCTACTCCACATATCAAGAAGCGCTCAACACACTGACCCTTTCGACTCGCACTGACCATCACCACGACCTCATCTGCAAATTTGGTAAGAAGCTTCTGCACCATCCTCGACACCGGCTCCTACTACCACCTGAGATCCCTAGCCCGAGAATTGCTGTTGGACACCACAACCGCATCCAGCCCATATGTGCACGAACTGATCGCTATTATAAGAACAGCCCAATCCCAACCATTGTAGAAATTATCAATAACTTGTAATAAACCAGTGTATTCACTCCCAGTAAATACTACTTCTTGCACTGTCACTATGTTTAAATGCACTATAGTTTGGGCTTTTCCCCATCTAGTTATTATATATCTTATTTGTATCACTTATGTTACTTGTATATTATTTGTAATTCGAAACCCATTCCCTAAATATGTAACTGTATATTTTCAGCCTTCTGGCTGCCAAGCTCTTTCAATAAACCGTTAATTATTATTATTATTATTATTATTATTATTGTTATTGTTATTATTATTATTATTATTATTATTATTATTATTATTATTATTACACACACACACACACACACACACACACAGGGTCAAGACGTACCTGGCGCTCCTCTCGGAGCAGCCAGGTCAACTGTTATGTTGGCCCATACCAACTCCCTCCCCTGAACCCTCCTCCCCACCGGAATATCAAGAAGTTCTCGCCATAAGTTACTATTTCATTTAAGAAAGGAATGGAACCAGTGTTAAACAGAGGTGAACAGTGGTGAACAGTGCTTAAGTCAATGAGAACAACTCAACAGTAACAGTGGTACCCAAGTTGACCTTCACACAGTGAGGTCCCAGGTACCCAGTGATAACGGCCCGTGAGACCCAACAGCCAGCGATGTGTTAATCCGTCTACGATAGGAAGGCCTGGAACCAACTCCTCACTCATATAACACCATCTGTGAGGGAATTACTACACCACGTGAGGCCCCTCATAACACCATCTGTGAGGGAATTACATACACCACGAGGGAATTACTACACCACGTGAGGCCCCTCATAACACCATCTGTGAGGGAATTACTACACCACGTGAGGCCCCTCATAACACCATCTGTGAGGGAATTACTACACCACGTGAGGCCCCTCATAACACCATCTGTGAGGGAATTACTACACCACGTGAGGCCCCTCATAACACCATCTGTGAGGGAACTACTACACCACGTGAGGTCCTCCTAACACCATCTGGGAGGGAGTTACTACACTACGTTTTTGCTGTTCAACACCTACATTAATCTGTATGTTCACTGTATGTTCCTTTACCTTTCTCTAATGAAGGCTTTTGTTAAACCACCAATGTATGTAATAAGTCATTTATGTCCAATGTATATTTTCAGCCTTCGGGCTGCAGAACTTTTTCAATAAACCGTTAATTATTATTATTATTATTATTATTATTATTACACACACACACACACACACACACACACACACACACACACACACACACACACACACACACACACACACACACACACACACACACACACACTTACACACACACACACACACACTACACACACACACACACACACTTACACACACACACACACACACACTTACACACACACACACACACTACACACACACACACTTGCACACACACACACACACACACACACACACTTACACACACACACACACCTATTTCTAGATGGGAAATTCATAGTTTTTCTGTCTTTGGCCAAAATTATGTGTACATGCCTAAAGTAACCATATTAAATTTTATCTCTGTGTTAAAAACTGTAATCATGCATAAGGTCAGATTATGGGTTATTTGTCCCCCCACTTCCCACATTTTTGTTGTTAAAGGTCTTTCTCAATGTTCTTTATATAAGCAGATTAAATGTCAGCTCCCTTTCCTCAAAACTGTAGCTGTGCACAGTGAACACACACACACACACACACATTGCTTCATATATATACTGTAGATGGACACACCCACTGTAGTGCTTTATTCTGTTCTCAGTAGTGTTCTAATATACTTTTGATAAAACAACTATTGTAGAATTTTTGTCTTATTTAAAATAAGACAAAAATTCTACATTAGTTTTTGATGTACAGTATTTGATGAATATCTTGTTTATTTTACAGGAATTTTATACTGTCCAACTTCTTTGGGGAGTTAATGGAAGGCATCAGCCAGATGACGGAGGTAACTGAGGATGACAATGATGACTATGATGATGTTGATGGTGACAGTGATGAAGAGTCTGAGGTGATCCCAGTGGTGGAGGATCATGAGGAGGACGAAGAGAGCAACGGTTACCACGATGAGGAGGATGAGAACACAAACCCGTTCTTCTCCTTCAACAACATCCACTCCCTGCTGGGTGATGCATACAGCGACGAGCCCATCCACACCATCCTGAACATGAACGACAACGAGGACGACGATGCAGACGAGGGCGAGGACGAGGAAGAGGAGGACGAACGGTGGCACAGCGCGAGTGACGACATAATCAACGACTGCTGGGCCAACCATGAGGGTCTGCCCATAGACGACGACATCAACGAAATGGAAGACGACGCACCGGACATATTCGACTGGCACATCATCACTTCAGAAAGCCTCATGGATGACTAAAACCACCACACTCATACATACACAAGACAGCCTTGAAAAAAATATCATCAGTCGCTAGTCATCCTCTAACGTTGAAATAATAGCAAAAAAAAAAAAATCGATGCCATTAAAGAAAACCATATATATAAGGTTTCTGTATTTACTCTGATTAGTTGTGCATTACGATGGGTTCTGAAGGCTTAATTGTATTGTGTAGTACAGAGGATTTTCTCAACCAGTGATGAACAGCCTTGGTGTCTTCGCTGTCATCGTGATCAGATACTCACTTATTTTCATGTGGTAATGGCTGTGATGATTTATTGTTTCTAATAAATGTGTAATGAGAGAAAAAACATTGTGGCTTTCAGAGTTCAGTTAAGTTAATAATTTACAATTTACAGAAGTCTGCTTTTGTTTTTATTATGATGTAAGTGTGATAGTACATGTAGCCATTAGAACTTAGTGGAAAATGAAAAGACATGATTATTTTGAGCCATTACTGTGATTGGCATTCTTGTAACCTGAAACACTTGACACCCTGTGCGGCATTCCCAGAGATTTTTTCTTCCAATCGTATGTGGTGTAACATTCCTTGTGGGGAAAGGCATTTGTGGTTTTCCCAAATTACGAGGTCCGTTGGTTTATTGCCAATTATATGAAGCGTCACTACCTTGGGGGCCACAGCTAGTGACTCTCTACCTGGGATTGACACCCGAAGGAAAAAAACCCGGCATAACGTCGATATTTGGTATTTCCCATAGGTTGCAAAAATCTCATTTAGACTTGAACAAAATGACCTTCAGTTTGTATCTTGTATAAAAGGAGATGAGACTATAATAGTTTAGTGACCCTAACTTTTATATTGAAATTTAAAGAAAGGATGGAAACATTTATTTGTGGTCAACTGGTGTACCTAGGGTGGTCAGTAACACACAAGACAGCACAAGTAGGTTATGACTCTCTCACTTTTCATGCACAAGATAGACAATTATGCAAGACCAACTAAATAAAGGAACTAATGTATTGTCCTTGAAGAAAGTAGAAAAACCCCCCTGATATATACAGTCCAGTATTTAGCATAAAACTGATATTTTGTGAGAGTGGCCGCTGGGTGTGCACAGTTAAGTGTCAGAAGCTAGACACCAAGAGATTTAGTGTTTTTTTGTTTTTTTAAAGGAACCTAAATAACTAATTATTGTTTTACCGTTTTATATATTTCAGTAAATCTGGGTCAGTGAACACAACGGCAGTGAGTGTGCAGTGATAATAATTTGATAGTGAATAAATGTTTATGTATAGCTCAATTAGCATTTATATTGCCGTGACAGTGACGCTGGGGTTGGGGATGCCAGCGCTGAGGGTCGGTGTATTACGTGTACAGTATACGAAGATGTGTTATTCTTCCCACAATGGTGCCTTACGTGTATATTACCAGTGGTACGTATATTAATACTTGGCTAAATCTGTGTACAGACAATTTGTTTTCTAACCTTCATACACTTTTGTCAATACCATTATATTCTTTTTTATTATACTTTGTGTTATTGACCTTTCAAGAATTATTTGGTGTATGTGTCTTGCCCCTGTGAGTCATATGTATAGTTCAGTATTTGTCAAGTACTGTATATATAGTTCTTGTATGACATAATTAACCAATAATTACATGTCATATTTTTTAAAAAGTGGCGGCTATTTTGTATACAACTTAATGAATTTCAGGTGTTGGCTTTTATTTTCCAGGTTTTTGATGCAGGATGTTTGTAAGAGTATAAGTAAATGCACAAAAATAACATGGAATAATAGTCGAGAAGAAGGTGGGTGTTATGGCAGTACACTCAAGTAATCATTGAGGGATCCTGTTCTCTTGACAAAATTCTGAAGTGACAATATTCTTTTATATGATCTGAATTTATTTAGTAAAGGTTCATACAGTACTGTACAAGCTTACACAATTATGTATGGTTGTATATTGCTTTAACATTTAGTACAGAGGACAGCACATTACAGGGTATATTTAATACTTACTTTTAATGTGGCAAGATGGAGGGAAAGGACTGCATGTTTCTATCAGTTTAAAACAAAATTTGAAAGGTGAAAATTTGTAATCTCCAGTAGATGTTAATAAAATAATTGTATCATTAATTCTCGAATCCATCAATTTGAAAACATTTTTGGTGGTCTGTATATAAGTGGTCATCATGGTAGTGTTGTGTATTAGTATAGTAATGGTGTGAGCTGTGTGACCTAATGGTGGTGTATAAGTAAGTTTAGAAAGATCTCCCACCTACTCAGTGTTCAGTTGTGTTGTCCAGGGTGCAGTGGTGTGGTCTGGGATGTGTCAAATCGGAGTTTCCTTTGTATTTCAGTTAACAACATTAATGAAAATGATGAATTTTGGTCTTGACTGTTTATTTTTTATCTATTGTAAAGCCAGACAGGTCTTGTGATACTCTACGACTGGCTTAAGAAGAGACAGGATTTATCTTTTCCTTTATATGCAAGCCAGGGTGATCTATTGACCTATTTTGGCTATAGTAACACTCCAGCCTCCCCATCTATTGCCTCATATGAGTTGCTGTATATAAAGCTCACATGTCCTAAGATTTTAATTATAATACAGTACTGTACTCGACTCACTTGCCAAGTCTTTTCCTCTTATGCTGTTCTGAATACAGTACATATCAATTGCTTTATGAAGAAAATATCAGAATTGTGTATTTTTTCTTTCAATTACAGTAGCATTATTACATGCAACACACTGCACTGTATATTCCATTTAAGAAAAGGCTTTACTGAAGCACCAAAGACGAGATAGAGTGTTCTTACCATGAACTGACTTCGGTCATGAAGGAAGGATTGATCTTGAAACTCCGTTTTAAGGGTGAAGTCACATATTACCTTACCCAAGTTCATGGGTTGGGTTGGGGGGGGAGTACAGGTCTGTTTTAAGGTTCTTCAGAAGTTGTGGCACTCAGCACAATTTACATCATCTTAGTTTTTGCATCAGACAACAACTCTAAGATCAAGAAAGAAAGATATCCCTCTGATCGGAAGAGGTTATCCTGTAGTCTAATCGGTGCTCTATGCTGGACTTTGTTATAAATACACCACATAAATATAGTGTATAGTAAACCCTTGATTTTTACAGTCCTCAAGTTCTCCATGTTAATACAGTAAATGTTTGTAAGTTCAAAAGAACATGTAGAATTCATGTACACATTTTTATTGCAGACCAAGAATGTGTCCCACTTTTTCCCCATTAGATATCGGCTTCCATATTTGTGTCGCTCTCCACTAATATATAACCCTTACAGGTATTGAAGGTTTACCGTACAGTACTTCCTTCTCTGCCAGTGAAAAAGTCTGCTTGTATTATATATTATCAGTTCTATAACATTGAAATACTATACAGTATTGTAGTCCCACACCCTCTGTCAGCCACTGCAAATAGTTGACAACTACAGGTTTGTATGTTACATGATATGGTACTGTACTGTATATATAACCTTAATCACATTTAACACTGTAATACATACTGTATACAGTATATGAGGAAGATATTGTTCTTACTTTGTCCATTTCATCATTATTTTGGGGGAGCTGATCATTACCGTAAATGTTAGAACAAATCCTTTATGGAAGAGAAGATGTTACATATTGTACAGTGATCAAGTGATCAGTCCTTGTACTGTATTGGTTTTGTTCTGAGAGTTAATCCTTTGGAAAACTTATTTGCAATAAATAATTGCAAAATCCCTTCTGGATTTTGACTATCCATCAGCATGAAGCCCTTGGAGGGAGGGAGGGAGTACTTCTCTGTGGACAGGTAGATATTTTATCCCTTGTGAAGACTTACGGTCATAAGGGAACATGTGATGTTTCATGACTTAAAACTTTTCCTTTATTAACCTTACAGCTTCTGTTTTCCTTCACTGTCCTGTAATGAAAGTGGAGGGATAGGATACAGTGTTAAATATTTTTCCATAGGCTATAACAACCTCAGGTCTGGCTTTACAGTCACTTAGTTTTATAAAGGGTGAAGGTTAGTTATAGCTGCAGTGTTCAACTAGAGCTCATTGGCTCCTTTTATCTTTTATTTATTCTATTTTTTTATGAATTAATCCTCTTACTACCCAGCACAGCACAGTATCTGGTCAACTTCCTCCTACGTAGCTCAGGGATATACAGTACAATAGACCCTTGCCAATCGCCGGTTTTCGATTTCGATGATTCGTAGTAAGCAAATAGTGGCTAGCTTGCAAACTTTTTCCTGCAGCACAACGAGTCACCCCACGTAGCATCTCGTGTTGTACTCTCAAAACTTGAGTGCTTCTGTGTGAAAATGGCCCCTAAAAACAGCCTTGTGTCAGTGCTAGTGGAGTGAAATGTTAAAGGCAGAAATCAGTGATGACCTTGACAAAGAAAGTTGAAATATTAGATAAGTTAAAAGAAGGGATGAGTGCTGCTGTGGCTGTTCAGTTGTTTAGTATAGGTATACAGTAGTGCACTAAGGTACGTAGTACAAGTTGCTATTCGCGGTTTTGCCTATTCACGCCATTCCTTGGAACCTAACCCCCGTGAATAATAAGGGATTACTGTAGAGTATTATGTAATGATTATGGGTCCTGGATACAAGGGGACTTTATTTCCAGGACCTCCACTTCCATAGAAATGTAAAGTGATGGAGGGGAGAGTAAAACAGCTGATTGGCTGTTGCAAACCTGTCCGATTTTGTCCTGAAGTAATGATGTATTTCTAAATAAGTTTATTCATAATCGTTGGGATGACCGTTTCTGACGAGAAAGATATTTGGCTAAATTATATAAAGATACTTACATTCGTTATTTCAAACAAGCATGTAGGAAGTTTATCAGAAGTACAGTGGTCCCTCGGTTAATGAACGGTGCGGTTAACGAATTACCTTCCATAATAATCTTCAATTCGGTTAACGAACAAAAATTCGATTAACAAAATCCTTACGAACATCACGTTTTGTTGTGACCATCAGCTGATAGGCTAGTCAGCCAATTCAGTAATCTGTTCTATGCTTACATTCGTTTCCAGTGGCGTAAATATCAATAAAGTTGTGCTCTTTAATATTTTTGCATGTTTTATATTAAAATTTTTAGTCATTTTAACATTTATTTAACATATTGATAATACATGCAGTACAGGGAACTAGTTTTTTGTGTGCCCATCAGATGCGTGTCTCAGCCACAAGGCGTCAGTTGGGCTCTGTTGACAGTGGAGTGAACATCTATTTTGTTGGTGTCTTGAATATTTTTGCATTTTTCATTGAAATTATTGGTCATTCTGAAATTTAGTTAAAATATTGATAATATATAGCGCAGTGCAGTGTTGATTTAAATAAAATAATCTTGAATTACACCTAGTGAACTTAAAATTTTATTGGTGAAATGAGGCATCAAGCATGGGTCCCCTGAAAGGTGATTTCTCCTCCATCACCACTTCCTCCTCTTCTCCCTTCTCCTCTACCCCCACTTCTAATTATCATCATCATCATCAACCAGGAACCATCTACATACACACCTCAAAGTAAGTGTACTTTACTGCATTTTTTTTTTACTTTGTATATACTTTTCAGTGAGCTGGAACCAATTACCCAATATCCCATTGAAACAATGGATTTGGTTAACGAACGACCCTCTGGAACGAATTGTGTTCGTTAACCGAGGGACCACTGTATTATACATGAATTAACTGTTAAACTCTGGAAGCAAATTAATGCTTTCGGAGGATGCATTTAATATATACAGTACTTATTTTTACCCAAAATAAGGTATAATAAGACAAATTACATATCAGTAATACTACATTATGCAAAAACAACATTTTTAAACATCAGAATCACATTGAAATATTACACGACCGTCAGCAGAGGCGGGAAATGTGACTGCGAACAACTTCATATTTTTCGCACCTTTGCTAATGGTCGTGTAATATTTCAATGTGATTCTGATCTTTAAAATTTTTGTTTTTTTGCATAATGTAGTATTACTGATACGTAATTTGTTTTATTATGCCTTATTGTGGGTACAAATAAGTATATATTTAATGAATTCTCTGAAAGCGTTAATTTGCTACCAGAGTTTAACAGTTAATTCATGTATAATACTTCTGATAAACTTCCTTCGTGCTTATGTTTGAAATAATGAATGTATGTATCTTTATATAATTTAGTTAAATATCTTTCTGGTCAGAAACGGTCATCTCGACGATTATGAATAAACTCATTTAGAAATACATCATTACTTCAAGACAAAATTGGACAGGTTTGCAACAGTCAATCAGCTGTAACTCTTGAGGAAGGGGCGGGGCATCTTTTCTCAGCTGGAAAAAAATGCGCTATAGTGTATAAACCCTGAAATATGGGACCAAGACTGAACCAGTTAAAAGATTTACCAGTTTCCTGGATCCTGGTTAGGTTAAACGTTCTTCCCTGCATTAATCCATCTGTTATCATCAGCCTTCCAGTTCACTACATCAAGTTTTGCTTGATTTTATTCATTAA